CTGCATACAGGGAAATAAAACACTCATAGATCCATTATTTGACATCCTCTCATATTTATGTATCTGTTCATCATTTAAATATTGGAATAAAGATAAGATAAAAGGTTCCTTTATTCCCTGTTGGAGAAATTCAAGTTTGACACAGCAGCACAGGGGGGAATGTATTTCAAATAGTAGGTAAGTGTAAAAATACAGTAAAGAATAAAATAAAAATATAAAGATTTAGAAAATATAAAAACTAAAGAATATATATACTATATGCAGTATGCAATAAAGGAATATGGTGTAAAAAACATTCACCCAAAGTGGGGTTTATATAGAATTATATGTTTTTTGTGTACTCTTGTGTAAGTATTATTTTCAGTGTCGTGTTGCTGTCTGCAACAGACAAATGAATGTGAAAGTATACGGGCTCATAAAAAACACTGCTTCCTTCATGAACGAGTACTACGCTCGTATTTCAAACGTTTTTTGCTATTTAAGCATCCTTGCATTTTTATTGGAAGTTATAAAGACAATATCACGAAGTTTTTGTATAGTTTTGTGCGTGTAAGATAGGTAGCGCATATATTCATTACTTTGAACTACACTGTTGTATCAAAGTTAAGAAAGTACGCATGCAGTATGTATTTATACTATATTTATACATCAGTTTTAGTGTGCATTACGAGGAGGAACGGCCGACAGTGCGCTCATTTATACAAACAAGTTGTTAACGTTTTAATATGCACACGTACAGGCTACTTCTTTTTGTGTGGTTCGTGTAGTAGTAATGTTGAAGAAGTTCCCATTTTGTCCACAACACCTGAAGGCAGCAATATCAGCACCGTCTCAGAAGTCCCCTCATCAAATGGGTGTGGATCGACTGCGCATGTCCGTGACCGAGCTCTTTCGGAAGCTAAGTCGGGTTTATCCAGGGGGTCCACATCAAAAACCGAAAACAAAAGGTAAGAATTCATTTAATAATGACATTACAACCGAGAAATGCGGTCGAGGTGTTTGTTTGTTCTTGGTTCGACCGTTGTCGTTTGAGTTGTGCCATTATTTTTAGCGACTTCGTAGCAAGCACAAACCTTCAAGGAAATGTTTGCTAGTGCCAAAGCGATGAACAAAAGAACCGGACGACACAGGCGTGTTTGTGTATGTAGCGTAAGAATACACTTTATGTTTTAACAACTATAACGTGGACATCTCGACAGCCTTGCGGTCGAATAGATGTTACAGAGCCTTCGTGTAAAAATCAGGAGTTGGTGTTGGTGCTTGCTTGGTAAATTAAGCCAGGGAGCTGAGCATCTTCCTGTCACCACAGCGATTGCGCACAAACATACATTGTTTTTAATAGTTCTAAAAGCAGTTTGTGGCGGACTTGAATTGTAATTATATGTAGTATAGATTATATATAATGAACAGTAGTATTTCTATAAAGTTTGTGATGTGTTCACTTTTACGCATTGTTGGACCTAACGCCCTTTTCCCAGAGTCATGTCGGGTTTCCTGGACGGAATCCGGTGCGGAGATTGCGAGTGCAATGTGGACTGGGGAGAGAGGAGAAACACCATCGCATCTATAGCTGCTGGAGTGCTGGTATGTGACTGGTTTCCCCAGTTAAGGGCAGATAGACTGGAGCTACAGAGGGGGGAACGTGGGCTACTCTGATTTGTGTGTTTGCCAGTAGTTTCTAATGACTAGCGTTTGCAGAGCGGTGGTTTTATGTTTTAATGACCAAGGTGCAGATTTATTACACATTTGACATGCATGTTCATACCTGCCACTGAAGCCCTCAGGCTAACTGTGGATCTTATTTCAGTTTTTCACAGGCTGGTGGATCATCATCGACGCAGCAGTGAAATATCCTGCGGAGGGAGAGTTTCATCATGCCTATCACACTTGTGGAGTCATCGCTACACTGGCTTTTCTCATGTAAGACAGACTTTGCACGCTGGTTCAGGATCATACGGTTCAATTATTTGGTGTTGCTTAAGCTTAAAGCCCCCTATCCAGGTCTTCCTCAGCCTATGGAGTTGCTCAGTTGTAATGGAAATGGTCGTTATCACATGACCTCAGTATGGAGTTTCAGTCACGTGATACCTGGTCTTGTATTGGGGGGCTGGGGGGTTCACCCCCATCTGTTCAAGGGTGGTCTCCTTTGTCAGTTGTAAGTAGCCTCCTTAATCTATCACTGGCCGTCCACTGACTGGTTGATGACTTTGATCCCTTCCCAGTTCATGCTGTGAATTATTTTGGTTTAGTGTTCACAGACAGTTGTTATCACGTGATTGAAATTCCATATTTAGGTCATGTGGTAACAACTAAACCATCTCCATGACAACTGAGCAACTCCATCTGCCATGACCCGGGGCAGAAAGCTTCTGAAACACCAAGTGAGTGGACCATGGTAATTTTATTATTTCCCAGCTTGTAAGATCCTTCAGATAATGTAATCCCTGTAATTATTACAATTCAAGGCACAGGCATACTGTAACCACTTTATTATCATGGAGTCTGTCAACATATACAGGTCAAAGTAATGTATTAGGTAGCTTCTAATATGTTTAATTATTTTTTCTCTCTCATTTGTCCCATGTAGGATAAATGCTGTTTCAAATGGCCAAGTGAGAGGAGACAGCTACAGTGAAGGCTGCATGGGACAGACAGGTCTGTATGATAGGATATGATGAACAGCAGTATATTCTAAATAAATCTCCCACAAACACTTGATTTCCCATTTATAATGATGGTGGACACTACCTCATTTCAGACTGTTTGCTTGTATTATTATTACAAACATGCACGCAGTAAAACACAGACCCATAAAGAAGCGTTACATGGAGTCGCCCAGTGACCCACCCTTTTCTTATCTCTGTTTGCAGGCGCTCGAGTCTGGCTCTTCATTGGCTTCATGCTGGCTTTTGGCTCCCTCATTGCCTCCATGTGGATTCTGTTCGGCGGATTCGTAGTCCCTCGTAAGTCCTGTTTGTCTCAGTAGCACATTGTACAGTAACTTAACTTGCGCTGCAGCTCAAAGTGAAGGACCTCCCGTTGTCCCGGGGACAATAAAAATACTACCTAGGACACAACACTACAGTGTCTGCGACAATTACAAATTAAGTTATTACATTTATGTCACGGAATATATATCATTTTAATTGTTAGGTGTTCAAATTTTAAAAATGTGAGGTGGCAGCAGCATGATAGAGGGGGCCATTAATTTGACAGTTTCTTATGAAAATCAATTTGTTATTCAGATCTCAGCAGCAGAACTTCCACAGTGGACCAGAGTCAGTGAAGAGATTTGTAGTTTTTTAGACAAAATTATTAAACTATATGGAAAATGAAGAAAAAGAAATTAAATTGGTGTTTTTTTTAGTCTAGGACAGTTAAAAAGGTAGAATTGGGAAGAGTTGCAGGACACTGAGGCCCTGTCCACACCAATACGCGGCCTCACCCAATACTTCGTTTCGAAAAAAATCTCCGTAA